ACAGGGGGGGGGGGGGCCGCCACAGCGATGGAGAGGGCACGTCGCTGTGGAGAGAGGCCGAGAGAGCCGGGGATGTTCAGCCCGGTGTAGAGAAGGCTCCAGGGACACCTTACAGCGGCTTTCTAGTATGTAAAAGGGGCTCATAAGGCAGACAGACAAAGATTATTTTTTTTCTTTTTCTTGCCGGGTCCTGTAACAACAAGACAAGGGGCAACGGTTTTAAACTAAAAGGAATAGGTTTAGGTTTGATGTAAGGACGACACTTTTTACGATGGGGGCGGTGAGACGCTGGAGCAGGTTGCCCAGAGGAGCTGCGGGTGCCTCATCATTGGAAGTGTCCAAGGTCGGGTTGGACAGGACTTTGAGCGACCGGGTGTTGTGAAAGATGTCCCTGCTCCGTGCCCAAGGTCCCTGCCAGCCCAAACCAACAAGCAGCCTACTCTGTGGAAATGGCAGAGGTTCTGGGCACCTGCAGGATCTCTGTGCTTTTGGGAGCTGCGATCGCAACACCTGTACTTGGGGAAAGGTGGATTGCCTCCAGCCGGCTGCGGTCCAAAGGCAGCCCCCTGTGTCGATGCAGTTTGTATGGGTTCTGGCTCACAGCTGTGAGAAGAATGAGGATGGGTAATCAAGAGATCATGGTTAATTTAATTTCTAAATCTAGTTTGAACCTTTCTTTGTTCATTTAGTACAGAATACAGTTATCCTGCAAAAGACTTGACATAAAATTTGGTAATAATTAATATTTCTTTATCCTTTTGCTCCCTTGACCTAATCTCAAAACTTGAGAGCTGGTTGCCTCTCAGATTGATTTGCCTCTCAAACCGATCTTAATTTTTGTTCTCTTACGCTATTCTGTAGGAAGACAATCTGTCTTTCCCTTCCCTTCCCTGTTTTTACTTTAAAACTAGGTAACAGCTAAGATGGGTAACATTTTTTTTCTGAAGATTAACTGCTGTTTATTCAATTTTTCTCAAAATTTGCAGGTTACTTACAGACAGCTGTAGAAGAAAAATAATTGTGATGCTTTACGTTTGAACAATGGCGATGAATGATAGCGTTAATATCTTGAATTCTGCTTATCTGGCGGTGGAATATATCGACTCTTTCTTGCCCGACAATCCCTTGCAGCAACCGTTTAAAAATGCCTGGAATTACATGCTGGATAACTACACCAAGTTCCAGATTGCAACTTGGGGATCACTTATAATTCATGAAGCTTCATACTTCTTGATCTGTGTACCTGGATTTGTCTTTCAGTTTATACCGTACATGCAAAAGTATAAAATTCAGCAGGTGAGATAAAGTTGTGAACTACGCACTTCCCGATTTGTCTTTGAACATGAGGAGTAGAAAATGTAACTGTAGTGTCCTAGTTTCCGATTTATATGACCCCATTCTCTCTATCACTGTGGACATCCTGGAAGTGACAGAGCAAAATTGCGACGTGTGTGAGGAGAGAAAAGAGAAGTGGATTTTGGGGAAGGAAAGGAGTTGTTTTTCTGAGGGAGAGTATCCTTTCCGCCATGGTGGTATAGGGAGAAAAGGGTATGTCAGTCTCTGCGTCAGCAGAGTTAAACTTTCTCGGAGTTTGCATATCAGTAGGGGAAGGTAACCTAGAATCAAAACATCTGGTGGCAGAGATGTGTCTTAGTGTTATGAAATAATTACATAGTATGTTTATTTAATAGCAAGTGTCTCTTTCAGAGTATCTCTGTGCACACCCTCGTGAAAGGATTTTGAAGTATTTGAACAACAGAGAAGGCCTAGGATGGGCTGCACACTCCTAATTGGTAGAAAAGGCACATGCAGTATCTAAAGATGATTGCTTTCCCCAAGTTCCTTGTAATATGAGTTGAAAATTAATAATACCAGTTTCTGAAATTACTGCAGTAACTGGTAAAATGTCTCCCTGCAAAAACTGGATGTTTTCAAGGCAACTTATTTCTTTGCAAGCTTATATCTTCAGCTTTTCCTTGTATTATTTTAGCTATGGAAATACATTCTGTGGTGTGAAGAAGAAAAGCAAATTTAGATTTGTATTAAACTGTTGAATGCGAAGTGTTCCTGTTAATTACAAACACTGAAATGACAAAAATAGTTTGAGGCGACTGGCAAAGACAATGTCTGTTAAGAGAGACTTGCTTCATATTTTACAGAAAGCTAGCTTAGAAACACAAGAGGTTTTGACGAAACTGAATCCAATCCCATGTAACTTGTATTGCCTGAGTTAATTTGTATTATTGGGGGACCTGCTGTCTGTCTTCCAAGGTGAAATGAAACTGCCTCCTAAGACTTGTTTGCAGCACTTCAGTTCTGTGATTATAGAAATATGTAACACAAGTGATTCTTTTTCCTTCTTATTAGGACAAACCAGAAACATGGGAAAAACAGTGGAAGTGTTTCAAAACGCTCCTCTTCAATCACTTTTTCATTCAGCTGCCTCTGATCTGTGGGACCTATTACTTCACAGAGTATTTTAATATCCCGTATGGATGGGAGGAGATGCCTAGATGGTAGGTAGATTTTTCTCCTGTGTTGCTGATGAGTTACATAGAGTTGGAGGCGTTGTCAACTCTAATACGCAATGATTTTTTAGCAGTTTAAACTGTGTTTGTTAATCTTGCTTCTGCTGATGCTGAACTGCTATTAGAGCTTTCCAAGATTCATGATGGCATGGGTTAAGTATTGGACTTTCTGGGGTTTTTAATCCAACGTTTTTTGATGCCTCCTAAATGTTTCTTCCCTAC